TATATTAATTATATTATATTATATTATATTATATTATATTATATTATATTATATTATTATATTATATTATATTGTATTGTATTATTTATTTACTTTTTTGACAAACTTTAAAATTCTTGTTTTTACAAATATGTAATTATCATACAATTTGTATGCCAATAGTTAATGATTTCAATTAAATTATGCATTAATTCAAACACTAGTTATTTATACCATTTGGTAGAAATAGAATGAAGATGGACACTAGGGTTTTGCAGTGACTTCTTGGATTTATTTTTCATCTTCATTACTGTTAAGAACGCAAATAAATAAAGTATTCATAAAAAGGGAATTAAATGTAAAAGATTTGTCTAGTGGATAGTGACAGCTGTTGGTGGTACATTGCAAAAAATGATTTTCGTATTTTTGTCTTGTTTTCCAGTACAAATATCTAAACATTCTTAAATCAGGATACAATTGCTTGAGAAGCAAAATGACATGAGATAATAAATCTTGTTCTTCTGAAAAATGTGACAGAATTTAGTGACTTTTAAATCTTTTAAAATCTAAAATAAAAATGTTTCCCAGTGGGATACAATTGTTTATTTGCTATTTTTCTTGTTTAAAGGGGTCATATGATGTTGCTAAATATAACATTATTTTGTGTATTTGGTGTAATGAAATGTGTTTATGCAGTTTAAGGTTAAAAAAACATTATTTTCCACATACTGTACATTACTGTTTCTCCTCTATGCCCCGCCTTTCTGAAACGCGTCGATTTTTACAAAGCTCATCAGTCTGAAAAGCGAGGTGTGCTCTGATTGGCCAGCTATCCGGTGCGTTGTGATTGGCCGAATACCTCAAGCGTGTGACGGAAATGTTACGGCCCTTGCCATATTGTGATGCCTTGTCCCGACCGGAGCGACGAGACAAAAAAATTAAAAAACCCATTATAAACGAGGCATTTGTTGCATCCAGTGGGGACATAATTACGGATTATTATGACTTATACTGTCCTTTTACGCGTTGCGTTGCATCGCGCAGCGTAAACATAAAACCATGTCTGCATTTGTGA